ACGTTCAAGGATTTACCTCCAACTTTAGACCAGGTGACGGTTGGTGTTGGTCTTCCACTGATGAAGCACTCTAACAGTAACACGCCTCCTTCATCAACAATCAACTCACGTTCAGGATACGTCTCGGTGATACTGGCTCGAACTACACAACGATTTTAAATGAAGTTAATTTTCTTTAGCCTATTAAATAGACAGACCTCTGAGTTTATAAAAATACACCTTGTGTCCAAAAAGGAACCGACATTTGATCAGTTTCGTCAGGGCCATCATGGGGTAATAGAAGTGGTAAAACACCGATCCCGCATTCATTGTTCTACCACCCTAGTTACTGCTACGTCAGATAAGCTAAAATGTCTTTTTGATATACAGCATGGAAAAGACAYCGTTTGCTGAAAATTGTAAATCAGTGACTGTTTTAGAATCAATGTATTCTAAAAGTTCTGAAATTTTAAAAATTCTAATGAATTCGAGTTTGTTGGTCCGACACTCTGTATTTCATTGGGGAAACTACCCACTGTTTGGGTGGACACACAAGCAAAGAAGCCGAGATTGGTCTATACTTACCGACACAGTCATCCAATGAAGTGCTACCTGTAGCCGTCGTTGTACTGCCATATGGACATGGCAGACAGCTAGTCTGTCCTTCTTCTAACTGGTATGTTCCTATTGGACATTTGTCACATGGCGCAAAAGACTCTTGTAGACCGTTATCAGAGAACGAACCAGGGCGACACAAAGCTACGAATAACAAATTCTTTGTCATYTATAAAATATACATAGAATACACAKAATGTATGCAATGATTGCAACGAGAATAACTTTGATTCAAATTASCACCTCTGACTCGGATATTCATGTTCAATTTTTTATCGATAACCTAAAACACCCTCTGAGTTGATCCAATTAGTCAGCGCGCGCGCGGCTAACCATATGTCACAGATCAAACCCTGAAACAACCTCTGGGGTGATCTAAGTCAGGGCATGGCTAACTCACAGATTGAACCCTGAAACAACCTCTGGGCTTATCTAAGTCAGGGCATGACTAACTCACAGATTGAACCCTGAAACAACCTCCGGGCTTATCTAAGTCAGGGCATGACTAACTCACAGATTGAACCCTGAAACAACCTCCAAGCTGATCAATTAGTCATGGCATGGATAACTTAGGAATCCTACATTTTGTTGCAAATTGAAGCAGAAATCAGAACTACTTTTGCTTTGACGGCCCTAAAAACATCTCTGAATGAAGCAATACTTACTTAGACAGTCTGATGCTTTTGCACTTCTACTAGTCTTGGTAGAGTATCCTTTGTCACATGGCTGACAAGCAGTCATACCATCTGTATCCATGTAGGTACCCTTACCACACTCCTGGCATGAATCTGATGTCTCATTGTGGAACGTTCCTGGTGCGCAATTGACTGAAAGAAAGTTTATTAACGTATTTAATAGTAATATCATTGGGTATTCCATGT